CACTCACACTCGCATATGTATATACATCACACATGCACACACACCACACAACACATGCACAGACACACACCTCACCACATACACATGCATGTGAACACACCCTCACATATGCATGCCCATGTGCAAACACCGTACATGCACACGCACATGCAGACCCACATAAACACCATTCACACACTCATGTGCATGCATGCACACCACAGACATGCATGTGAACACACACATGCACACACGTGCACACACCCTACATGGGCATACATGCACATACACAAACACCATGCATACACTCACATTCACACAGATGTGTGCACGTGCCACACATGCACACACACACCACACACACATGTGAACATACTCTCACACATGCACATGTGCACACAACCATATATAGGCACTTATACAGACATGTGGACAAAACAGGTGTGCACACACCACACACAGTCATTCAATGCACACATATCATACACATGTGAACACACACATACATGTGCACAAAAGCACCATACACAGTCACACACATGCACACACCTCCACACATAAACACACCATACATACACTCACATTCACTCATTTCCCACACACACACAAAAAAACACATATAGATGCACACACAGAACCACAGATGTACAGACGCATGAACACACATGCACACACACTCATACACATGTATATACACACAAACTCCACACGTAAACTCATGCATACACATACACCAACCATGCATGTGTACACACACAGGCACACATGCACACACAGGCACACATGCACACACAGGCACACATGCACACACAACGCATGCAGAGCCACAGGCAGTTGTCAGCACATACATACTTTCACACATGCACTCACCCTTTCATGTGCAAACACCGCCCACAAGCGCGCACACACACACAACGCACGCCTTTCTAAGTCATGATTAATCAGAGAGGGCCGCCCCAGCTGTGCTTTCCTAACTGCACTAATAACCGTCAGTTGTGATTGAGGGCTGGTTTGATGATCAGGGAATCAATCCTATTCCAATGTTTCTAGCAATCCCAGACTCTTTTGATCACGACCAAAACCACTCCTAAATGTTTGCTTTAGTAGCGAAATGATGGGAGAGCAAAGTAGCAGGTGCCCTTTTCCAAGGGAAAGGGCTACTGGTTTATGAGGGAATGGTTTCATGTCCATTTTGGTGAAAATATGTTTGGAAATGAATCTTCCTTAAACTGCAGGTGTTTAGAATCACAACAGGGTGTGGTACCTTGCTCCCTCCCAGTCATGTAGGGCCTTGGAAATAAGTACATGCTTAAACTCAGTAATTTGAGTAAAAGGCCTAGAGATGCATAGCTTGTTTTTGAGTTAATCTCTCATGGGTGCCCAGGAATTCCATACTATATAGGATTGGCCCAGCCCCACCGTAACTCAGCTGCGGGAGGCGCTCAGAGTCTGTGTCTCTGAGTGGACCAGTGGGCCTCTGTGAGCTCCTTAGCCCAGTGCAGAAACTCGCTCATCATGGTGACTTGCAAGGAAAGAATGGCCTTGAACGTCCATGGGAACATGCCCAGAACACACAGCAGGCCACACCTCTCCAAGGGTCATCTCACTCATTTATGAAACATTTCCTTCTAGGTAGATTTCTTACATTACACTTCCATTTCTTGTGTCATGCTCAAAAGCAAAATTTCAAAAGTCCTATATACAGAAAATCTGATTATAAAGAGACTGCAAACCTGCTACGTAGAAGGAAATACTTTCACTACTTGAAGATTGCATCTTGTGTTTTTAGAATGTCAGTGAGCTTGGCATCAAACGTTGGATGTTTATCTGTGGCTCTATTTTTCTGCTTGTATGTATTTACAGGGTTTGCTTCAGAATGTCCACCTCGTGTTTGAGAACTCTGTGGAAGATATTCTAAGCAAGAAGGGTTGCCAGCAAGGCCAGGGAGGTAGGTGTGTTTTCAAAAATGCATTTGATTTACTGGCTTGGATGGGTTTCTATTGCGACATGATGTGTGTGTGTGTGTGTGTGTGTATGTATGTGCATGCATGCTTGTAAAAATTTAAGTAAAAATATTTGGAACTACCACTATTGTCTTTGAGTGAGTTAGCTGGTCACCTTAGACATGTTGATATCTGAAAA